GTATTTTTCAGATGTTCAGTGGACATTTTTAATCCTTTCACCACTGTGGAAGTTGAGTTTTGTTCACAAATTTCTGAGTGAGTTTACTTTGGTGGTAGAGCATTATGCTGGTCATTGTGGAGGACGGGTCTGAGAATATCCTGGAGAGCTGGTTTTGTTATGGCAAATTTTTTCAACATGTGTATGTCATTTAAGCATTTGATTTCTCCATCACAAACAAAACTCAGTTTAGCTGGATACAGGATACTAGGCTGAAAGTTGTTTTGTTTCAGGAGATTTAAGGTCAATGACCATCCTTTTCTGGCTTGAAATGTTTTGGCTGAGAGATCTGTAGTCATTCTGATATTTCTCCCTTTGTAGGTGATGCTTTTCTTATGTCTGGCTATTTGCAGAATTTTCCCTTTCATCTTAACTTTGGCAAAGTTAATCACAATGTGTCTAGGAGATGCTTTATTGGGATTGAGTCTTGCTGGGGTTTTGAAACTGTCTTTTATATGGATTTCTGTATCTCTTTCCATGGTTGGAAAATTCCCCTCCATAATCTCTTGGAGTAAAGCATTTGTGCCTTTAGGACCATCCTCTTCTCCTTTGGGAACTCCTATAAAATGAAGTTTGATCTTTTAGAATGATTCCACAACTCTCTCAGGGAATGATCAGTCTTTGCTCTCCATTTGTATCCTCTTTGAGCGTTTGGGAATGTTCAAAAGCCTTGTCTTAAATTTCAGAGATCCTTTCTTCTCCTTGGTCAGCTCTATTACTGAGGGATTCTACTGTATTTGAGAGCTCCTTGTCTTTTTCATTGCCTTGAGCTCTGCTGTCTCCTTTCTCATTATGTCTATATCTTTGGTGACTTTGTCTTTTAATTCATTAATTTCTTAAGACAACGTTAGAACTACTCTTTGGATTTCAATTTCTAACTTTTCCTCCATTCTATTCATCTTATTTGCCATCCATATTCTGAATTTGATTTCTGACACTTCAGCCATTTGTCTATGCATGGCATCTTCAGTTGTATCTCCTTTGTCATTCCTTGAGACGGGGGGTGTTGATCTACTCTGGTTATTCATGTTGCCAGAGTTCTTCTGTTGGTTCCATATCATGTTTATTTTCCACTGTTTGGGTATTAGAATTGGTAGGGTGAGATTGAATTGGGGTTCCCAGGTAGTAGAGATAATCAGCCCCTTATCAAAGTGCTAAGCTTTATAATTGTGGCTTATCCCTTAAAACCTTACAAAGGCCCCTTTCAGAGTTTTGGCCAGAGACTCTGAGGACCTACTTGGTGAGACAGCGTAGGCTAGCTCTGTATTTATATTGGCCAACCTCTACTGTATCCTAAGACACCACTGTATTCAGTTAAAATCTCATCTGTGGAGATACACAGACAGCTGTGACACCCTGCCCCCACTCTTCAGTTCTTTTGTGCTACAGAACTTTGAAGGTCAACCTCAGAGTGTCCCTGGGTAGACAGCCCCAGACATGAGTTCCAATCAAATTGTCTTAGGAAGTACAAACCCTGCTCAACAGACAGGTATCCAAGGGTCTCCAACAGCACAGTTGGAGCCAGGGGCTCATGTCCCTGCCTGCTGGACTTAGTCCACACTGGTCTCTGCTTCTCTGATTGCTGGCCCACTTGGAGCCAGGTACAATGCCTCTACCCCCATTCTCAGTCCACACCTGCCAAGCCTCTGCTTGCCAACCCAGTTGGAATCAGGGGACCACAACCCATCCACCAGTCTCAGTCCACACCCAGCAAGACTGCTGGCTGGCCCAGATGAAGTCAGGGGACCATGCCCCTACCTGCACATCTCAGTCCAAACCCAGAGGCTCACTGGCTTTTTTGGAATCAGGGGACTACGCCCTTGCCCTCAGGTCTCAGTCTACACTTGGCAAGCCTCTGCTCATCCACCCAGCTGGGGGCCGGGGACCAGCCCTAACTGCAGAACTCAGTCCACACCAGGCAACTACTCTTCCACTTGTGGGTGCCATCAGACCCAGGGGTTCTGCACCCTCTCCTGCCATACACAGTCCTAACCAAGGGTCAACACCACCACTGGATGAGCAAAGTCATAACCAGGGGACTGCTCCTCATCCCCTCAATTGTCTCTTTCTTCTCACATCCTCTTTCTTCCCCAGTAGTCATAGATTCTGTCCTGATGTTTGGTGGTCCACACTATGCCTAGATCTATCAGGAAAAGACCAAACATTCTGTGCTCTGCAGGGGGCAGAACTTCAGACTGCCATGTGAGAAGGGAAGGGTAGACTGGGAGTTTGGAATTGTGGGGGAAAATATTTGTTCAATTTTGTGCCTGGTAGGGTGGTGTTTATGACCCAGTTGGAATCAAGGTCCCACTTATGAACCTCTCTGAAGAAAGAGACCCAGTGTTTAGAGACTCTCTCCAGTGAGGTAAAATGAGAGGTCTTTCATTCCCTGCTTTCTGGCAGAGAGCCCATGGTGGGCCTCCTGCTTGGGGTAGTAACTATAGTTACATCCTCTAGTAACTATAGTTCCTATTTTAGTAACTTCATGCTGTGTTTAAACTTCAATCATGAATACAGATAGTGTGTATTGCAGATCAAGAGAGATGGGGAAATTACAATGAAAAGACCACTCACCACTTTGACAACAGTTGCATTGGCCACATTTGCATTTCCGACTTCCTTGGCATACTTCCTCATGGCCTTTCTTCTCGCTCCCATGATTAGTGCAGGGTTCACTCCAGTCTTCACAAAAAAGGAACATATGCAAAACCACCTCATGGCTCCAGGGACCCACCCAAATGCCAGTTCTCCTCAAACCTCCCCATTAAACTGCTTTTGTAGCCAGGTTCTCACTCCATTCCCTGGTTATACCTTGCCCTGCCCTCAAACATCCTGAGTTGGTTACTCCCTTTCTTTTTTTTTTTTT